GGGAGACTGAGGGAGAGATTGGGGGGGGAGACTGAGGGAGAGATTGGGGGGGAGACTGAGGGAGAGATGGGGGGAGACTGAGGGAGAGATGGGGGGAGACTGAGGGAGAGATTGGGGAGAAAACTGAGGGAGAGATTGGGGAGAAAACTGAGGGAGAGATGGGGGGAGAAAACTGAGTGTGGGATGGGAGAAAAAAAATGAGGGAGGGATGGGGGGAAAGAAAACAGGAGGGGGAGAGGGGGGACGACATACACACAGCACCCCTGCCCTACACATATCACCCCACAAAAAGACACACACACAGACACATCACCCCACCCACACACATCACTCCACACACAAACACATACACTGTACCCCTCAAAGCAGTGTGTGTACACTCAGCAGTCTGTCTGTGTGTGTACACTCAGCATTCTGTCTGTGTGTGTACACTCAGCAGTCTGTCTGTGTGTGTGTGTATTTAGCAGTCTGTCTGTGTGTGTGTGTGTATTTAGCAGTCTGTCTGTGTGTGTGTATTTAGCAGTCTGTCTGTGTGTGTATTCAGCAGACTGTGTACTCAGCAGTCTGCTAAATACAGACAGACTGCTAAGTACACAGACAGACTGCTAAATACACATACAGACAGACTGCCGAGCACACACACAAACAAACTGCTTAATACACACACAGAGATGTTAATTAGTTCGGACAACTGTATGAGTTGTTTTTTCTACACTTAAACCTCAGTATTCAGGTTTAAATGCCGTTTTGGCACTTTGAGGGAAAAAAATTGGCATGTATTACGGTTTGGGCACTCGGGCTCAAAAAGGTTTGCCATCACTGGCCTAGTCTATATACATTTATTTATAAACAACATTGATATATTTTTATATAAACAACTTTAATATTCAATCTTATTTTGTTATTTTATGAAAACCTAGTTTATGAAATCCACTGAGGTTACATGTGTCTGATCTGATTAGTCAGTAGTACAATAACATTGTTCCAATTTCCTTACTGCTAGCACTACAGGTACGGTGGGATAGTATCGGTGATTTAAGTAAGCTTTCCCTTTTGAATTTGGTGGACTTTAATCCTGCCATTGCAATAGACTAAAGACTGTACCTGAGTAAGCAAAGTCATTATGTGCAGGAATTGTGCACTTTAAATAGTAGAATACTTATGCTATTCTAATGAATTGGGCTGGCTGCTTAACACATCATTTAGTATCTTTTGGTCACATTTAAAGCTGTAAATGTATTTAAGATTTTATTTAAATGAGCTTTTAATAATTTCAGTTTAAAAGTTATTAGAGATCCTATATATTTACAATTTTATTTTGCCCTGGTTTATCTTACATATATATTATTTTTAATTATTTTAGAAATATTTATTTTTGCAGAGGATTTAGAGAAGCAAAGGATGTATAACCACCTGTTGCCCTTTTTTCTAGGAGGGTAGTATAATTTCAACTCTGTTTAGGAAAAAACATGAGCTAGTTAGCATATATTATTTAAAATACATGCTGCAGTGTACTGCATTGTACTGCACTGAATGTATTTAAAAGCCATGTCTCTCTCTTTATGGCCGTATGTAATAATGTTGTTCATAATTTGGAATATAAAACGACGACTTCTCAATTCCTCGGAATGTTTACATGTCTCTGTATCTCCACAACCTTGGCTGGAAACTCCAGACTGAAAAAATAGTTATGCTGTTATAATTCCTGATTTTCAATCAACAGCTAGTGTAACTGACAAAATGGAAAATATCACTGTTTTACAAAACTTTTCTTATATAGTGGACATTAGAATCCAGAACGCAGTAATGCAATAATTAAAAATCCTGTCTGTCTGTTGCATGAATGTTTTCATTAAGCCATAATGCAATTTTCTTTGCATTCTTGGAATTAGACTTAAAATTTAATCGCTCTGTCTTATCACTTTTCTTTTGACAACATTTTGCATTAATCTTTTTCCTGCGCATGCATACTAGGCAGCTACAAAGAGAACATATCCCCCTGTCTGCAATCCACTGTACTAGAACTAATGGACCATGCTATGCTGGTGTATTAGGCATATCAGGGAGTTTACCAAATATGTATATTTGCTCTATTATGATATTAGTTAAGATCCACAAAATTTCAGCATTGTATGCTAATTACGATGTACCTGGCACCTGAACTCACAGTGCCTTGTTCAGGGCCGTCTTTAACGCGGGGCAAAAGGGGCAGCTGCCCCGGGCCCTGTCATTCCTAGGGGGCCCAAATCAGCTGCCCCTTGAGCCCGCTGGCCGCTGTGGTGCTTGCGGGCAGACCACTGCGGGCCGCACGATGAGGGGCCCCATCGGGTGGCCCATGCTCTTAGGGCCACCCGATGGCAATGAATCTGCAGGAGCCCGGTCAGCACTGCGGCGCTTTAACAGTGCGACCGGGCCCCCAGTGATGAGGTCAGCGCTAGGAGGAAGTGCAGTCACTTCCTCCTAGCTAACACAGAGAATGCCGCGTGGGAGGAAGGAAGAGAGGAGGAGTGCGGACTGAGAGAGCGCTCAACTCCCAACAGCCTCAGACAGCCACTGGACAGCAGGTAAGTCACCCTCCTGCACCCAAAAGGTAGGAAACAGGAGGGTGTCTGAAATTGTATATTTTTCATGCATGTCTGTTTGTGTGTATATATCTGTCTGCATGTGTATCAGACTGTGCATGTGTCTGATTGTGTGTGTATCTGTCTGTATGTGTATATGCATGTGGGTCTGTGTGTATATCTGTCTGTATGTATATCTGTGTATCTTTATGTGTGTTTCTGTGTGTATAGCTGTCTTTATGTGTATATGCATGTGTCTGTATCTGTGTGTATCGGTCTATATGTGTATCTATGTGTCTGTATGAGTCTCTGTATGCGTATTTGTGTATGTGTACCTGCATGTGTGCCAGTGTGTCTGTATGTGTTTCTGTGTATCTGAATATGTGTCTGTATGTGTTAGTGTGTGTTTGTGTAACTGCATGTATGTCTGTGTATGTATTTGCGTGTTATTATGTGTATCTGCATATATGTCAGGGTGTGTTTGTCTGTTTATCTGTGTTTTAGTGTGTGTCTGCATGTTTGTCAGCGAGTATCTGTATATCTGTATGTGTGCCAGTGTGTATCTGTGTATGCACCTGTG